TTAGGGTTAGGGTTAGGGTTAGGGTTAGAGTTAGGTTTAGGGTTAGGTTTAGGGTTAGGTTTAGGGTTAGGTTTAGGGTTAGGTTTAGGGTTAGGGTTATTTGTTATTACTTGTTTGTTGAAGGCACGCTTTTGTCGGCGCGCTATTGTCGGCACGCTTCTGCGCTCATTTGTCAGCACGATTTCGAACTCGCGGTTTTGTCGCCACGGTTTCATCGGTCGCGCTTTTGTCGAGCGCGCATTTGTCGGTGAACCCCAATGGTGGACTTCAAATTTTTTTAACAACCGGTTCTCTGCCCTAATGACTGGCTGGGTTAGCATGGCTGGATGGTCATGTGAATGGGTGGGCATGGCTAACTCGACATCACTTCGTTGCCTAAAAAAAAAGATATACAAAAAGGTAGTTTATTATTTCGGGCATTTAACACTTAAATATAAACAATAAAAGAGGTACACAAAACAATAAAAGCGGTACACAAATACTTACATAAGAACAATAAAAGTGTTATTCAGCATTAAGGTATTCCTACTTAGGAGCAATCTTAATACAAAATCCCCATTCCAGAGTAAGGATCACGCAACATCCCCATTCCCACTCCATCCCAGTGCAAACTCATTTCCCTCACTAACCTGCTTTTCAGCTCTGCTCTCCTGTGCAGGGCAACAAAAGAAGACCCAGCCAATCACCTGGGAAGCAGCAAAGCCACTGGCCGTGATCAACTGGGAGCAGTGGTGGGTTTCTGCTGGCATTGCTGCCGGTTCGGTGCGCACACAATTTGTGCAGTGCGCAGTGGCCTGTAAAAAGGTCTGTGCATGGGCAGAACATTAAAAAAGGTTAAAATTAAAAAGATTGTGCGGCGACTGGGGAACTGGTTCGGTGGCGTGGTGAGCATGCTGTCTGTACCGGTTCGGCATCCCTACTAGTTGCCATTTCCACTACTGGTTCCACTGAACCGGTGCGGACCGATAGGCACCCACCACTGGCTGGGAGGCTGGGGCACCGTTTGCAACCTTTTCTTTTTTTTAAAACTGATTTTCTTATTCTTATGCCATCTTTCCTTTGTGGCAGTGTGTTTCCCTGCACCTTGCCACCGAGCCGAGGTGGCACAGTGGTTAGGGTGCAGTACTGTAGGCCACTTCAGCTGACTGTTATCTGCAGTTCAGCAGTTCTAATC